GGTGACTAGGTAGGAAAGGTAGAAGTTGCAAAAATGGCATTGCTCGAAGTACCCTGTAAGAGTATGGGTGCATCGCTTATTTTATTTCGAAGACTTACCTATTCACACATTTTGGAAAAGCATAACCGTCATCTTCCAGATCTTCCAGCTTTTCTTGTTTTTCTGCATCATCATGTTGTTTCAATCCTCGCTGACGTAATGTTGCGCCTAAATAGCAGTTCGAAGCTTATGGAAGAAAGTGATTGGAAGTACCTGGCACAGAATTATCTAGAATCACAGCGACAACTCCACCAACCAGCATTTTGATGCTCAGAAGCATGTTTATGATCTGGTCCCAATCAGCATTACCTGTATGAAGCTGTGTTGGTTGAAAAAGAGACACGAAGAATGCACATAACTTTGGCAGACAGTACTCAAGTTTGGTTTGCGTTGCGGCAAAAATCTTAAGCTGGTCCCAAAATAAAGAAAGCTCAAGCTGTGTTCATGTTTGGTTTTAACTGGTATGCAATATCTTCAGATTTATTACCCGTTCTGATTGGGCTAATCTCGATATGATGCGGAAGTACTTGTCCGGTCAGCAGTGACAGTCCCATGATAGAGAGATTGCGAGTAAGTTTCAAATCGATGAGCTGGAAAACAAAGGAGTACAAATACCTAGAAGAGAACCATCCTTTGGTGGTATTCTAAATTCATTTCACAATTACTTCATCGCAAGGTCCGCGAAATTTCTTTGAGCAAGGAGGAAGGAAGGAGAAGGAAGAAGGAGACAGAATTTTTCTGTGCATGGGTCTGATGGCGTCAACATTCCATCTAAAACTTTTAGATATTTCTGAAATTCTCGCGGGCTCTAAACTCCACTATCGTGACCACGGCAAGATTACGCGACAAAAAGGACCCTGTGCGTGCTGCTCTAAAAAGAATCGTATGGGACGAGAGTTTCGCGAGACACAGTGGTGCGGCCGAAGCTAACTTGATGGAGAGGGTGCGTCTTGGACTCGTGAAATTACAGTAGATTTGTATGTTCTACTCGCAATTGTTCATCGAGGCTGTGATCAGATAATTTTAAAACTAGCTCGTAACTTGCACTTTACAGCGTTACACTTGAAGAGAGTAATTGTTGCTTTTTTGACGAATCTCACAAACGTACAAGGCCATAGCCCACATGTCGAGGATCTAATTTTCTCTTTTTTAAGATTTTTCGAAATCATTGTTGACAAATTTCCATTTGCTATTGATGAGTTCCAACCTCTAAGCTAGCTTTGCGCAAGCGCCGATACTCTCGAAATCCATCAAATTGTAAAGATGAGAAAGAAGTATGAGAGAATTCTTTGAAGGATGAAGAGCAATAGAGCATAAAGTGGCGTTAGAGAACTGCCTATATCTACCCCAGGTCATGCCATAAAGGTGAAAATGAAATAAGTAGCCTTTTGTTTTCCTGTCACGCCAAAGTGTCTAGCGCTTCTAGAATTTTTTGGAGAAAGTCAAGAAAGTGTATTGAGATTCATGCACGCCCAATTCGGGGAATGAATGTAGCTTACTTGGAAGATTTTTTAGCTTTACTGAAATTAGCACGAAGCGAGAATGTAGCAATTTACGGTTCATTTTGGACAGCTCTCTATAATTAGTACTGTAGAGGAAATTTAGATATATGACGTCCGTACTCAAGATTGTACTGGGTGCGCCAAAATTACTTGCGCGTATTTGCTTGGGTGCGAAAAGGATACAAAGCGGGCTTGATGACGGATCAAGCATGC